TATCTTATTTAAAGCACGTCCTAACTGGATATAGCCTTTAGAGCTTTCCATACAAAGACTTCTATGGTAGAGCAATGCCTTTCCCAATGAGCTTTTCGATGGATGCTTCGTGAAATGATGTTTTCCCCCAAATCTTGTCTGAGTGATTTGGGACTAAAACGCCATTTGTAGCGTGAATCCATATAGATCTGTCTGAGGTCGAGGTAGACAGTGAGACGGAGTTTAAAATCTTGAAGAGGTCTTCCCACTGGTCTTTTTCCCAATCAAAGAGGTTACGCCTCAATTCTATGTTCCATTTCCAAGTCTGATCGTCTCATTCTCCAAATTCCTTGATGAAACCATCTTTTTTTTTACGGTAAGAGCATATATTCTTCCAAAACTAAGTTCAATAAGTGGCCTTCAATCCATCTGTCATTCCAGAAATGGATCTTAGAGCCTTCACCTATATAGAAAAAAAATTGGAATACATGATGTTATATAACTCCTCCACACCGTATGTTTTGAATGTCCTTCCAAATACAAGAGAGAGAATGGGGCGGGCGAGAAGCAATCTTCAATGAGTAGTTTATACTTTTCACGGATCACGTTCCTCAACAAGGTGTTCCATTCTGTACCAAAATTCCACGGCTTTTAGACAATGGAGCTTGATTAGTGTACTGCAACTTAGCAATCCCCAAACCGCCATACTTTTTGCTCTTGCAAATCATTCCCCAGTCAATCAGTCTCAATATTCTCTTCTCCTCACAGTCACCCCATAAGAACTGCCTCTGGATCTTTTCTAGTTCTGCAATAACTCCACAAGAGGCCTTAAACATACACATGTAACACACCAGAAGATTAGAAAGAACAGATTTGATTAAAGTAAACCCTGCCTCCCAAGGATAAAAGTTTGCTTTTCCAAAGGCTAAGTTTGTTTCTGAAAGTGTTGATAACTGGCTGCCAAGTGGGTCTGGGGTTGCCTCTTAAAAGAAGGCCAAGATATTTCATAGGAAAGGAGTCAACCCTGCAATTGATTTTCGAAGCCCATTCTTCCAAAATCAAGGCTTCAACCTTGATACCAAACAAGGCAGATTTATGAAAGTTTACCTTCAAGCTTGAGGCCAATTGAAAACAGCAGAGGACCTTATAATAGCAAGTAAGTACTCTATGTGGCTGACAGAAAATTATTATATCATCAACGAATTGAAGATGAGAGACCTGCAAGTTCCCATGTCCCACAGTGATTCCTTGAAACAAACCAGTTGAAACAGCTTTTCTAAGTAGAAAACTCAGCCCTTCAGCAACAATGTTGAATAGGAAAGGCAAGAGTGGATCACCATGGCTGAGACCTCTTTGCAGCATAATTGAATTGGAAGGGAGCAGTTTATGAGTACCAAAACAGATGCATTACATAAGCAGCCTTGAATCCAATCGATCCATTTATTACCAAACCCATGCGACTTATAATAAAGAAGAGAAAGCTCCAGTCACTACTGTCAAAGGCTTTTTCAAAATCTAGTTTGAACACCAAGCCACCGTTGTAAGACTTCTTGATACAATCAACAGTTTCGTTTGCTATTAAAACACTATCCATGCTTTGACGACCCTTAACAAAGGCCAATTGAGAAGAGTGGATTAATGATCCCATGACTCTGCACATTGCTTTTTTGGACCAAGTGCGTTGAATGAGCTGTTAACTCCTTTTGGGATCTTTGCTGTCCAATGAAAATCCTGCAGAAACTCCATTATCTCCGATTTCAACAATGTCCTATTTTTTTTTAATGAAGTCGAAGTTGAAACCATCAGGCTCCAGTGCTTTATCGCTACTGCAACCTATTACTGCCTCACATACTTCTTTTTCGTTGAAAGGGAATTTTAGCTGCTGACCCTGAGCAATAGATAATTTTTCTGGGTCTAAATTAGAGAAGGTGAGACTTTTTTTTTGTAAAGCTAAGATTTATTAGATTACTAATCAATGGCACATAAATGGCCAATGAAGACCATCCCAGACGCCTAAACTCATCTACCATTGTACAACGTGGGAGATATTTTGTTATACAGTTTGCAGGGACTTAACAGATCAAACCTGCTACTATGAGTAACACTAGCTGCTATGATCCTAACACCACACAACATAACAATGATCTCTGTCAACCCCTGGTTTGGAGCATCCTCTAAACCATTTTCCTCTCTGGCTATCTTTTAGATAAAAACCTCGTAGTTTCCCATAAGTTCCTCAATTTCAGTCAGTATAGACCACAGCTCCCATGGGCAAGTTTCTTTTCTGGTACACCAAATTATTGCTACTAATGAGTCTGATTCAATCACCAATTTCTTATTTCTAAATCTATCCCAATTAACGAACAATTGTAGAGCTATTTTGACAGCCAATAATTCAGCCACATTGGAAACTTCACTACCAAGAAGAGAAGAAAAACTTCCTAAGATTCTGGAATTTGAATCCCTCAAAACACCCCCACAACTCGCTTGGCCTGGCTGTCCCCTCGCTGCACCGTCAACATTGAACTTTAGAACTCCTTCCTCGGGAGGGCTTCATGAACTCTTAGGCTTTTCAATTTTTTTTGCTTTAGGTGGGGCACATTGTAGGGGTTGATCCACCATGGAGATTCAGCTATAAGAGCATCCTCATTCAAAGCTTTAATCCAGAACATTGATCTAAGTTTAACCAAAAAAATTAACTCTCCCACATTTAATTGCTTATTTTCAAACACAGCTTTTATGCTCCACCAGTCAATGAACTCACACCAGAATAAATACATCCAATCACAAGAGAACAGAACAAGGTTTACTTCTTCAACAGTTTGATTACACCATGGGCGCATGCATTGGGAAGGAGTAAGAGGCATACCTTAACTTTTCAGGAAAGACTTGGTAGGTATTCTTTCCACGATGACTAACCAGAAGAAGCATTGCACCTTCGGAGAAATTTTTAGCTTCCATAAATGGCACAGTTCAGGCGTTGCTAACGATTGATTAGCTTGCTCCAACATTCTAGACATTTCTTCACCAAGAATCTCCCTATCTTATCTTATTCCCACACAATTCGGTCCCTCCTGAATGATAAAGTCTGATACCTTCCAAACTTTTTTGCAGGCTCAGCAGATAGGTTCTTTCCCATTCAAACAATGTTCTTCTGAAAAAAGACTCCCAATCCAAGTGCATAAATTTACCATTTTGAGAATAGTCTGCCACCTTTGCATGTTTGTCACTTGCAAGCAGGAAAAGCCGAGGAAAGGATTCACACAACAGCTTATCACCACACCACTTGTCAAACCAGAATAGTGCTTCCTTCCCATCACCTATACACCATCTACAGCTATTAGTCCCAATGAATCTTTGAGCTCCTTGATCCTTTGCCAGACTTATAATATCCTTCCAAACCACCAACACTTTCTTTGTTTTTTCCACGCAGGTGAGACTTGGTCCATTTCCTTTCTTGAAATGCTCTTTGGAATAACATTCAACAGCTTGCTTAATTTTCTTGGGAGTGTTTAGTCACGTGCCTCGAAAGGATAAGTTACTCAGGAAAGTATTCCTCCATCTGCTTTTGGTTGAGCAATGAAAAAGTTTTGTGTTTTTATTTCCTTCTTGGAACCACTTAACTCTAGCTTTCTGACTCCAAGTTCTTCCTTCAATCCTCTGAAGCTGTCGAAGCTCGCCCCTTTTGGAATTGATGAGAGAGCCGATTTCCTTATTTGTAGGAGATTCTTCATGCCTTTTTTCCAAATCAGCAATTTCCTTGTTGAGAGATTCCATTGAGCCTGATTTGCCCCCCTCTTATAGCCATTCCACATTTTGATGTCTCTCCATTTCAATTTCTGTTGTTGCTGAAAACTCACAAATCCTTGTGTTGAGTCATTGTTCCATTTTTTATCCACCAAGCTATTGAACTCAGCATCATCAAGCTAACGATTAAACAGCCTAAAAGGCTTAGGTCCCCAGTCAACAATGTCTACTCCTAGGCAAACAGGAACATGGTCTGAAATAGAGCAATCTAGACACCACTGATTAATGGTTGAGATGGTAGACAACCAGTTAGAACATAGCGAGAATCTATTGAGCCTGCTCATAGCCATGGAGATACCTCTTCTGTACCATGTAAATGTCCTTCCCATGAGGGAAAGATCCACCAATTCTACAAAATATGTGAAATTAATAAAGTCATAAGCCGAACGATCAACATCAGAGATACCCACCCTCTCATCCTCATTTAACACTGCATTGAAATCTCCTGCATAGCACCATAGCTCATTATCGTTGTTTTTTAAATCTGCCAATCCCTCCAGAAAAACTCTCTTTTCTTGAACCTCATTAGAAGCATAAACGTTGACCAAATTAACAGCACCCGAGCATTGGTAAAAATTTCCTTTCAGCCAGATATAACGATCGTTAACTATTACAGAATCTACCAGGAATTCAACCTCAGACCACATACAATTCAGACCACCTGACAACCCACAAGCATCACTATGAACAAACCCGATTCCTTTACTACCCCGAGTTGACTGATAATTCTGTCTGAAACCCCTATAAATTTTGATTCTTCAATATCGACCATGGAAGGCTTTTCTTTGCATATAAGCCTTTGAAGTGCTCTTCTTTTTTCCTTTTTACCAATACCTCTAATATTCAGGGAGATAATCTTCATATTTCAACCAAAAACCCAAGAAACAAAGAATTAAAATCGTGGGATGAAAAACTTACAGGACTTCTGCCCAGTTGCCCTCTTCTTTTTCTTTGTTCACCAGCTTGTCAATATTATCCTCCTCATCTCCATCGATAGCTAAACCAAGCAACTTTCCCACTTCCATGGTTTTTCTGCTTCCATCCTTAAAACTCTGTTGCGGCTCCTGATGTCTTCTTTTGAAAAGATGGCTTCCTCAAGAATTTGTTGCTTCAACTCGTCCCTCTCTTTTGCTCGGCCTGTCAAACTACTTTTTCTGCCTTTACTTTTTTTTTTTTTTCGTTTGCCTTAGTTTCCAAGGATTTGTATCGTGTAGATGCATCGTGGTTTAGTTTTTATTCGGTAAGGGTCAGTGACAAAATGGTGATTTGTTTTTTTTTTTTTTTTCTTTCTTATATGTTAAAGGAATCTCAATAAGTTTGGATATATATATTTATACATATATTAATTTGTATGTAAAAAAGTCGATGCAAAGATATTAAATTATTTTATAGTATAAGAATGGTAAAACAGGATATAATATATATATATATATATGTGTGTTTCATGAGTCCATATAGGATGTTAAATTCACGAATTCTTAAATTTAAAAAAAAAAATGATTTAAAAAAAAAAGATATTGAAAAAAAGTATGTTTCTTAAATTTTGTTGAATTTAAAAAATGTAAAGTTTTTATATTTGATTAGAGGAATATACGATTATTTAATAAAATTTTTTATTATATTATTTTTAATATATATAAATAACATGTGACATTTATAATATGTGAGACATAAATAATACGTGAATAAACTAATAATTTATTTAAATTTTTATTTATTTAACATATAAGTTATGTATTTGATATTTTTGTTAAATTACTTAAGTTAAATTATTTTAGATTTTATTGCACATATAATACATATAATAATAAATTTTATATGTAATAATAAAATTTTATTATAGTGTAAAATCTTTTATATTTTCAATAAAAATCATGTTTTTAATCTTAAATTTGTTGTTTTCGTTGAAATTTAAGAATTATAAAAAATAAATTTTTCCAAATTTTCAACAAAGACCATTTTTTTCTTCAAAATGTTATCTTTATTTAATTATGAAAAATAGTTTTTTTTCATATTTTCAATAGAAAAAATATTTTACCTTAAAAATATCATCTTTTGTTGAATTCTGAAGATTAAATAAAAAGCAACATATAAGTTATTATGTTTTTTAGGTAAATAATATTGTTTGTATAGTTTGAAAATGTAATTAAGTAAAGGCAAATGAGGTAAAATTTTTACTTTTCCTCCGAAATTTAAAAATTTCAGGGAAAGGAGAGTTTTATATTTCCCCTATTTTTCCCTTTTTCAAGTTGTTAAGAATTTAAAAAATTTTAAAAATCACATTCCATAAATCAAATTAAGAAATTAATTTACAAAGAGTAAAATTTCAACTAAAAATCTTTCTTTTTTTTGAATGAAACACCCCTTAATATATAAATATTTTATGTTAAGAAGATAAGTGATGGTTGTTAAAATAGTAAATGCACAACCAACGCTTATTGATATGAGTGACAAGAACTCAATTTTTTTAAGTAAAGTTTTGATTTCGAGACTTATGAATGAAAAGACAAGCACTAGGAGAACTTGTTTTCTTTATGAGGTTTGATCCGACTCGATTTCGGATTAATCAAGACTTAAAGTGACTACAAAATATCAAAGAGTTCCAAACAAAAAAAAAATAGTAAGTGCATATACTTTACTTAAATAGTCGAATTCAAATTTATTTTCCTGATTAAAAAATCAAAAGACGAGTGATATAAGGTTTAAATAGAAATAATTGATCCTTCACTCATCAAGTCTCTCTATAAATAATTAAAATTTCCACATCAATGTGAAATAGAAGTCGTATTACAAAGTACATAATGAAAATGAATGACAAAATTGCACTTCAACAGTCCAAGGCATTTGTACAATATTAATACTAATAAACAATAAATTTCAAATTTTATTTCAACTTCTAATCAATATAATGTAAGAAACTTTTACAATATTATCAATATATTTATCTAGTAAATTGATTTAGTGGTAGAAAGATTTTATTGGCTTATATCTCTTTATTTATAGAACTAAAAATTGAAATATGGAATCGAGATTTAGTCCAAATATTTCTCTTACTTCCTTTAAGAGATGAATTTTCACAAAATTAAAGTTTAATCATAAAACTTACAAAATTTTCATTGTTAATTTTTTTAAACTTTGAATTTCTTTATAAAAAAAATCAAATATTCTTTTCTTTAGAATTGTTTTATTTGACAAAAAGAAAAGCTCATAAATGCAAATGTAATTATAAGTTTGAAAAAAGAAATTTAATTTTGAGAAATTTTTTTTAAGATATATATATGTGTGTATGTGACACTCCAATTCTATATCGAGAGATTCTATAGACTTGTTATGACATACAAGTAGATACTTAAACTTAAACTTGTAAAACGCTTTTTGTGAAACAAAATCGTAAGATTTTCAGGTCAAAAAAGTTCAAAACCTCGCAAGTTGAGTGCAAGTCTCCACAAATGGTAACAAAGCAATCACCAGTCAAACATGAGCTAAGTGCTACACTGTAAGATTCACCTCTAAAATCTTGTGGGAGCTAAGTGTTATACAGTGAGAATCACTTTTAGAATCCTAATATATGGTGTGATCTTGTGATCTGTGTGTACTTTGTGCTGGGCTTAATGAGAACGTCATCTGGTATGATCATGTGATCTGTGTGTGTTTTGTGTTGGGTTTGCCCAATGTTTAATGTGATTTGGTAGATCTGTATGCTTTGTGTTAGGCTTAATGGGGATGTCAAGTTTTAAAGAAAAAAGTTTGTAATGCCCCAATCTCATATTGAAATGCTTTTGAGGATCTGCTATGATATATATATATATAAATTTAATCCCAAATCTGTGATGAGTTTTTCTAAGATAAAACTGTAAGATCTTTGGGTTAAAGCAAATAATATCTCACAGGTTAGGTGTAGGTCATGCCTCAAACTTGAAAATTTAGGACGTAACAACGTCACATACTCATGAGACGAATCTCACAAGCATGCAAGGCAACAGATATCAAACTAAATCAAAATCTCAAAAATAATACTTTACAGAATCTCAAGTCCATAAATGGTATCAAAGCAATCACCATTGAACAAAAGTTAAATGTTATATCGTGAGAGCCATCTCTAGAATTCTACGAGAACTAAGTGCTATAAGATGGGAGCCACCTCTAAAATCCTTATGCTAGTGTAATGTTGTGATCTGTGTGTGCTTTATGTTATGCTTGCCCAATGTTTGGTATGATTCGACAAATTTGTGTATTTTATGTTAAGTTTGACGGGAAAGTCAAGCTCTAACGAGGAAAATTTGTGACACCACAATCCTATATAAAGAGATTCTGTGGATCTATTATAATATATATATATATATATATATTTGGTGTGATTCGATGAATTTGTGTATTTTGTGTTGAGCTTGATGGGAAAGTCAAGCTCTAACAAGGAAATTTTGTGACATTCCAATCTTATATAGGAAGATTCTGTCGATTTGCTATAATATATATGTATATAAAAGCTTAATGCTAAATTTGTGAGGTGTTTTTTGTAAGATAAAATCGTAAGACTTTTGGATCAAAACAAATAATATCATACAGGTTTAAATTTAAATCTCTACTTATATATTAAAGTAGATCCACAGAATCTCTTAATATGAAATTGGGATGTCACAATATATATACATGCAATAATTAAAAGTATGTTAAATGAGTACTTGAGGAAACTTAAAAAGGAAAAATAAACTTTATCAATAGGATCAATTAATTGGCTTATAAAAATTTTGCTGCCTCAAAGGAAGATAAGTTAGTTGGAAAACAGAGTTAACCATTAGGAATTAACTATAATACTAAAGATATATGGTCCAAGTGATAAAATTAATTTCAGTTTGTGATAGGAAGTTTGAAACAAGAATTTGTTAAACAAGATGTTGGTCCACTTGATTCCAAACCAAGAATAATAAAACTGAAAAAGAAACAAAAAACTTTATATAAGAAATGATTCCCAATCCCTTTATCCATCAATTCAATCTTTTCTTTATCTCTTGCTTATGCTCTTCAATATCTTTAGTAGCAATACAGATGGCATTAGATATTCAAGATCGTACATCATAACAATGCTTTGAGGATAGATAAAAGTCTGTCTAAATTCCCTCAAAGTAACTTCCAGTTGGTTAAGTTGCTTGAAGAAGAAAAGAACGAACATGTATCTTATGGATGCTACCAAGACTTAATCTCAGATGTTGTAACTTTTTTTGACCTAAATAATTCATAGTATGTAAATACTTGGATTGCCAATGTATCTAGATTCTTACACTCATGATCTCATATGAATACTTAATTTTTTGTCATTTAATAGGATTACAGTTGAGAAAATTCTAATAAGTATCAATATATTCTTATGTCAGCAGGATATACTCGGACCTACGGTTTTCAAAGATCCCTATTCGTTGATTACAAGGTCAGAGGATAGTATTGCAGTTCTGGGTACGGTGGGATCCTTGGGCTATGTATTCTTTTTATTTTTAAGTGGGGTGAAGATGGACGTGAGCATGGCATACAAGTCCGGAAGAAAGGCCGTATGTATTGGTTTCCTAACAGTGGTGGTGCCTCTGATATTTTGTTTGATAACGATTAAGGCCCTTCACACAGAAGGCGACTTGTTTACAAACAAAAGTTTTTTTCTTGCTGTAACATATTCCGGGACTTCATTTCCGGTTATACATTGCCTTCTTAACGAGCTGAAAATCCTGAATTCGGAACTTGGTAGGCTAGGACTATCAACAGCACTTATTGGTGACATTGTGTCACTAGTTCTTATGAATGTTAGCCAATGGGTGAAGATTGGGCTTGAAAAAGGAATAGAAGTGGTTCTGATTGATTCTGGACTGTCTATAAGCTTTGTTTTATCCGTTGTGTTTGCGTTGCGACCTATGATGAAATGGATGGTGAAACACATGCCCGAGGGTAGCAAAAAAAATGATATACTCCCTTATGCCGTCATTTGGGCGTTCATGATGTCACCTAGGATGACCGAACTATATAGAATATTCGTTCTCTTTGGCCCATTTATTCTAGGATTGGCTGTTCCTGATGGACCCCCAATGGGATCTGCTCTTCTCGAAATATTGGACCCTATTATTTCAGGATTGTTTTTGCCTTTGTTTGCTACAACATGTGGCATGAGGGTTGACTTGTCTTACCTCAAAAAGAGTAACGTTTTTGCAACGCACCAAGCAATTGCAGCTATAGTAACACTTATTGTCAAATTTGGGATTTCTCTGATGCTACCTCTATTATGCAAGATGCCCATGAAGGATTCTTTAGCACTTGCTTTTATAATGATAACCAAAGGTATCGTTGAGATGGGTTCCTATAGCTTCTTGAATGACACCCAGGTACGTATTCCATCTTTTGTTTTTGGTCTTTTCAGTATATTCATGTAATCATTGGCTCACAACCACGCATACACAAGTACAAGTATTGATGAATTAACATTTGTTAAAAGATAGAGTAAGCTAATAAACCTGAAAACTTGAGACCTATCTATTACAAACAGCCATTCACTTAAAACAAATGCAGGTGATATCGGAGGATATATTCGCTTTCATGAGTATTATCATCATTGTGGTAGCAAGCATTGTGCCAATACTTGTGAAAAGATTCTACGATCCATCAGGGAAGTATGTATCCTACCAGAAAAGGAGCATCATGCATTCCAAGCTCAATGAGGAGCTGCGAATGATTGGTTGCATTCACGTACCATGTAATGTCAATTCTATCATTAACATTTTGAATGCCTTCTATCCAACCAGAGAAAGCCCCATTCATCTTGATGTCCTTCACCTTATTAAGCTCAACGGGCGAGCCACACCAATTTTTATCGCTCATAAAAAAAACATGAAAACCCTATCCAACGAATCATATTCTGAGAACGTAGTCCTCGCTTTTAATCAGTTTGAGCGAGATAATTGGGAAGCTATATCAGTGAATGTTTTCACCGCAGTCTCTCCACCAAATTTGATGCACGAGGATATATGCAACCTTGCCATGGACCAGCTCGCCTCTTTTATAATACTTCCATTTCACCGGAGATGGTACATCGATGGGAGCATTGAATCAGAAGACCAAACCATAAGGAGCCTGAACTGCGATATCCTAGAAAGAGCACCTTGCTCAGTCGGCATCCTTATTGAAGGACGCCGACATCTAAAACACTCCAATTCTAAAGATAAATCATCACCAGATAACTCGTCATCATACATCATTGCTATGATCTTCTTGGGGGGTAAAGATGATAGGGAGGCTCTATCGTTAGCCAAACGCATTTCACAAGACAAAAGCATTAGCTTAACTGTAATTCATCTAAAAGCTGCAAACGGTTTAGGCTCCATCTTAGATGAGTCTGACAGAATGCTTGATGATGAGATGTTGAAGGATATTAGGGAAAGTGCATATAATATAACATACATTAAGAAGCAAGTAAATGATGGACCTCAAACTTCAACATTTCTTCGACCCATTGTGGATAACTACCAGCTTATCATTGTTGGGAGACGATATAACCATGAAGATCCCCGAACTCTTGGTCTCCAAGAATGGACAGAATTTCAAGAGATTGGGATTATTGGAGACTTGCTTTCATCAGCAGATTTTGGTGGCAATTATTCTGTGTTAATTGTGCAGCAACAACAAATGACTGCATAAGCCCCAGCACAAATGATCTTCCGAAGTTGCCATTTGCTTCCTCACTCGTTTCCTTTGTAGTGTACACTTGTAAATTTGGGACTTACCTTTGGGTGGTTCTAACAACATTAAAAACTTTTATTTCAGTGTTTGACGCAATCCGAGTTGTAGAGAAAAGAAAATGGATTGATTTCTCAATTCTTTATTTATTTCTTTTTTTAATTTAATTTTTCCATGATGCGAAAGTAGAATAGAATCTTATGTGAATGCATGATTAGGAAATTTAATACCCTTACTTTGATTCATGAATCTAGTCTTCAACTAGTTAAAGCAATCTTTAGATGTTAATTTAAGACAAAAACTCAGAAATGATGCGTTAGATCACGGGATTGGACGAAACAAAAATAGACAAGGAAAGGTTAAAAATAACTATATATATACATAGAGATGATAATGGATCGAGTCGGAATAGATTTTTATTTGTTCCTAATTTGATCCAATCTAACTTGATGATTTTTTTTTATATTCGAACTCGATCCAATCTAATATTGTATAAATTATATCCGATTAAATTTAATTTAAAATTAATAAAATATTTATTTTTAAAATATAAAATATTATTTTTAATATAAATATAAAATTATATAAATATATATAATTAAATAATTAATTAAAATTAACTTTTCATATATATTGGATCAAGTTTGTCTAAAATCCGACTCACAAATCTGACTTCAACTTTTTTTTACTATTATTTAATCCGAAACCTAATTTTTTTTTAAAAAAATTAAATCTTAAAAAATTGAATCGAATCGAAACCCATCAAAGATAAATTGAACTGTCATTCCTGAATAAGCGTTTTTTTTTATTTTATTCGTTTACTGATTATTTAGAGTGCATCGGTACTTTATCATTATAAATCATAAACTTAAGATTATTAGGGTAGAATTTCATTATACAATGGTTGATTATTTGTCTACTCATACTTTACTAACCCAATTGGGCCAACAACCCTGCTACTGCCCCTTGACGGTTGAAGTATATTTTTAATGACATTGGAATCCTCAAAAGCAAGCTTAAAGGTGACACCTTGAATCACGTCTCTCCAAAGGCAAATTCTATTGCAAATAAGCTAGCAAAACTTCAACCATTTAGAGCATAAGCATGTGGTGATCTCAACAAGTTTATTAATTTTTTTTTTATGAAGTATTGATTATGAACAATTTAGAAATAATATTTTGATGCAAAAATAATTTCATAATTATAAATTTTTGTAAAATATATTTATTCTAAAAACTTTATTTATAAAAAATAAATAATATCAAATATATGTATATAAATTTATAGATAAAAAATACCTTAGATAATAATAACAATACTTAATATAAAATGGATCTCATAGCGTATACAATCGATTTTATGACATACTTCAACATGTCAGGGACAAAACTTATATAAATTTTTATATATGAAATTTGTGAAATTTTTTATTAAAAATGAGTAAATAAAAATTTTTATAAAAAAATTCAAGTTAATAGATTGATAGAATTTAATATGAAATTTAACAATATGTAAAAAAATTATTAAAAAATTATTTATAATTTAAATTTAATTAATACTTATTTAACGATAAAATTTTATTAATATTTTATAAAAATATTATTTAATAAATATATCAAAATTTATTAAAATTTTTCAAATTTTATAAAATTAATCTATGTGATGAGATTTTTAAATTATCAATTTTAATTTTTAATTTTTATTTATTCATTTTTAATATAAAATTTTATAAATTTCACTTATAAAATTTCATATAAACCTTTTCCGGCGGACGAGACTTCCATTTGGCAAGATAAATGCGTCCCATCACTTCCTTCTTTCCAAATCTCTTCCCCCTGACCTCATTGCAATGGTCCTTCGTTGGTCCAACACCTTATTAAACCTGATAGAAGCGCATGGAATTTTCGATTGCTAAAGGATCTCTTCAATGTGAATGAGGCTAAAGCTATAAGCCTTATTCCTGTTGGCCACCCTAATGGGAGGGATTCTATTGTTTGGCATTTCACCAAAGATGGAGCATACACAGTCAAATATGGCTCTAAGCTTCTTCAAAATACATCGCCCTCCTTTGTCTGCAAATTCAAGTGACAAGTATCAACTTGCTGAAAGATTTTGGGAGAGTATTTGGGAGTTGCTTGTTACTCCAAAAATTAAATTTTTGTATGAAGCACGTGTCATAATGTTTTGGAAACGATGAAAAACCTTGCCCGACGGATGCAATCTACCTCTAATATTCTTTTGCCCCAAAGAGATACAGAGCACATTTTATTCTTTTGCCTTTTGCTGGAGCTGTTGGGGTTGCCTCAAGTTTCAACTATTGATTGAGAATTACGAAGGTTTCGTGGGTTTCCATAAATGGTGGAATGATTTTGTTTGCTCCTTTCCTGACTTTAACTCTTTTAGTGTACGAGGACTCATAGCTTGTTTATACTGGCATATCTGGAAAGAAAGAAACGAGTCTTTGTTTGAAGGTAAAACAGGTGACCCTGTTCTCACTTGGCAAGTTGCTTTTAGAGATTTTCAAGAGCTTGTTGAAGAACTAACACACCCATCTCTTCCCTCCTATAGCTCCAGGCACCATTCGCAATGGCAAAAATCCCTCTTGCTTGGATTAAGGTGCTTCGTTTGATTCTAAAACTAAAAATGCAAGAATTGCTGTGGTGCCGGGGACAATAGTGGGCTTGTCATTGTTGGAACCAACGCACTCGTGCAAGCAGGATTTGCATTAGTGGCTGAGGCCTTAGCATTAAAGTTATTTTGTACTTTAGTTGAAAGAAGGGGATGGCATAAATCATGTTTGAATTTGATAATAGCAAGTTAATCCAGAGGCTGAACTTTGTCTTCAAGCTGCGATGAATGAAGAAGTTGGCTATGGAAGATGATCTTCAGTTTTTGATGGCACGCTTACAGCTCATCTCTTTCTGTCATATTAGGGGAGAGGCCAATTGTGTTGCAGATTAGGTTGCTAAGATGACTCGACAGGAATGTCCTATTGATTGGGTATATTGTATGCCAGCTGACCTGTTGTCTTTGTTACGAGTGCAATGCTTTTGACTAATATAGGCTTTGCGCCATTATGTATGTTGAAAAAAAAAAAAAACAACTAATAGTTTGGTGAAACACACATGCACACCCTCGCAAAAGTTGATTTGCATATTTTCTTTAGATAGGGAATAATTAACGTTAAAATAATAATTAAAATTCATGTAATTGAACAAAATAAATATACAAATATTTTTAAAATATTTATTTATAAAAATATTATTTGATATACATTTTTAATAATTTTTTATTTCTATTAATTTCACAAAAAAATATTAAATTATTTAGTTATTTTTAAATAAATAAGTTAATTAATTATAATTATATATCACGTATTATTATAACAAAAATTTTAATTAAATAATGTTATATTCTTCTAATTAAATAAAAAAATTCCATCTCAATAAAATTAATCAAACATTCAAATCACTTACTTTCCAAAATTTATAAATTTAAGTAATTTCTTCCTAAATCCCTTTTTCTCTTAAATCTTATAACGAGTAAATCAAACGCCACGATAATTTAGTGATACGCACAGTGCTCAAACTGGCTAATGTCGAACTAAGCAAATCAAAGCGAAAACGCTCACTACATGTGCCCCAAAAGCAGAACCAGATGTTGGTCGGTGTCCCCTACAGATTATCTCCAAATTTCTCTTTTAAAAAATATATACTAGTTTGCATGGGACAGATGGCGTGGGCGTTTGGTAGACTGCCACATCTGTGACGTTTACAACATTTTCTAGGCATTTAAGAAACTTCCTACTGATTTAACGGTGAAAGGAATCTTCACTGTGGCAGGACAGCCTTTTTCTTTTCTTTTTTGACCTTTTGCGTACACCATTTTATACTTCAGTTTCACCGCTGCTAGCTGCTGATTGTGACCGATTTGATACAGTTTTTTTTATTAAATACAAAAATAAAATTGGCAATTTGTGATTGGACCACAAACCCAACGTGAAGTGATCAATAAATTATTCGTTGCTTCTTGACCAGGATCACAAATAGACCAAACATGTTACTTCTGACGCAATAATTCGTGCTTCACTTAAAACTTGACCAGGAGCAATTTTCATTTTCCTTTCTTTTTCTTGATCTTTTATAGTTCCATGGGGGCACTTTGGCATGTTCAACATACATGAATTTGAGGAAATTATAAGATGATAGACCAATTATTACTGTCTATCTAATTTCAAATAGCATCTATTAAACAAATTAATGAAGGTAATACTCAATTTAATTCTTTTCTTTTTTTTTTTTAATTCCATACCTAGCTTTTGACTTATAGATTTAAGCTTTATTTAGATGGATGATAAAATTAATTATAATAAAATTAAAAATTATTATTATTATTATTATTATTATTAAAAAATAATATAATTATAATTAAAAAATTTTAATAAAATTTATATAAATTTGATTTCATTAAAATTAATATTTAAATTTGATTGATAAAATAATAAATTTAATCGTATTGCACCGTAAAAAACATGAAATCCTGATGGAGACTGAAACTAAGACTTTTCTTTTTACAGGAGAGATGTTCCATTCAGCCTAAACAGTTTCAAGAAGCAACGATGGCTGTAAAACAAGTGCATATACAACACCTGTTCTGGCTTTTTTTTTTTTTTTGGTCCCCATAAGATGTACTTCCTAGTATAAATTTTTTGTACTGAGATTCTTCTTATTCACATAAACAATTATTCCCCTGCTATGATTGAATGAAGCATGGATGGTGCAATAAATTTCGGAAATGGGTCATCTCAAGGCAGTACTTCTTTTGCTTCTATCCACAAATATCGCTTGAAAATGTATCATATGTATAATTTTCAAAAGATCAATTAGCAGATAATGGAATCCGTAGCTATTAGTTCCTAGTTAGTTTGTTTTTGTTATCATCAACATTGGTTTATCTTTTACAGGGGAATTACTTCCTGATCATGATGTGATTCTCAAACAGTTTTCACTTTTTTATTGCTCTATATAGAATATCTTAAGAGAGATACATCAATTCCCATATTTATTTTTCGTTAAATATATATAAAATATAAAAATTATCATATTACAATTTAAGTTAAACAAGAATAAAATGAAACATTTTTTTTATTTTTATTAAATTCATATTCGATCTTTATCAATATCTTTGAAAATTAATTAAATCGAACAATCATAATCAAATCCATATACAATTTTCACTTATAACTTTAAAAATTAATTGTGTCAAACAATCATGATATAATTCAGTGTTACAATTCTGTAAAAAAAAAAAAAAGCAAAATTAGTACAATCTTGATCATTTACAATTATGGGGAGGTAAGAAAAGAAAGACAAAACCTTAAAAGGCGAATGGATTTCAAACAATCCAAGTTATGTTACTCGTATGTTCGAGCTTGGCTTATTTACTAAAAATTTTGAAAATTCAAGTTTGAACTCGTTTGTAAAGTTTAAACAAAATGAACTAATCTCAAAATAGAGCTGAGTTCTAATCCCAATATTTTGAAAACAAGAAATCAAGAAATTGATATGTACTCTGCTAACAGTGAAATAAAATAAGCTAAACCTAGTAAGCTGGATCACAAAGGATGCCCATATGGTTAAGTTCTAATAAAAAAAATTATTCAAGAAAATTTGAAAGAGACAGAGATGGATGACTGAAACTAATCAGTATAGTTCTAATCCAAATGCAACAGCTTGTCGATACATAGAAGAGTTCACAGTAAATCTAAAACTGCATAAAATGGCAAACTCCTAGGTGGCATTAATAAGGTTGAAGTAAAACAGCTGAAGTTGCTAAACCTGTTGTATTGACCTGGCATCTAACAAACAGATGACAGAAAATCACTTACCTGAATTCATAAGAACTAAAATGAGGGCGGTTCAATCCAAACTCTTTCCATGGCATCGTGCACAACCCAAGGATAAAAATCCTCACAAGCATATTTTTTGTTCGTAGGCAAATAATAAAAATAAGAACGGTGACATTCGCCATGATAGTAGATCCTGTCTGCCAAAGCTGATGTTTTCCACTCGGCTGCTATAGCAAACGAGGTACAACCAAGAAACAATGCTTGGTTTCCTAGCTTGTGTATCTCTATCCAACCCATCTCAGACCAATCAAACCTGAAAACATGGAAGTTTGTGGATCGGCAAACCAGCAAAAGCTCCCCATTAGATTCAACCAATTGTGATCTGGCCCAAAACTGAATTCCGATAATTGGCTCCATATCTGTAAGCACCCTCCAATCACGACCTGCAACATAAAATGCCCCAAGTACCCCACCACTAAAGACGCAATAAAAACATCCATTACTATAAACCACATCCTCAACTGCCCTCTTAAAACCATCCACAGCAATGGTGCGCCATTCTAGACCACCAGGGGAACAAATACTAATCCGAATTTTGGCAATGCTTTTTGAACTTTCGATTACAAAACAAATGCAATCTGGAGAAGTTGGACTTGAGGAAAATGTAGCCCTGTTGAAGTTAATCTCCATATTGGGAAGTTTAATTGCTTTTCTAGAGAAAGGACTATAGAAGAATGATTTATTACTTTTCTGTAACAGCAACCAACCATACTTGGAAGCACAAATTCCAGCACCAAAAAATTCTTCCTCTTTCTTCACTATGCTCTTTGTGATGTGAAATTGGTTATTAGGAGATGGAATATGGAATGAACTCAGCTGAGTCATGGCACCTCCATTATTTATATCAAAATCCCATTGGAGGCCAAGTAGCCATGGAACATTCCCTTCATATTGAGGAACTTTAGCCAAATGCCAATTTTTGCAGACAAACCTAAAGTAAATTTGATCAATAATCTTAGGAAGTCGTCTGATGATCAAATTTAGGATATCAACAGGAAGATGAGACCATGGTCTATATTGCATCTGCTTCCCCTCTGCACAACAAATATGCTTCTGTCCATCAGCCATAAGTTTCCTTTCCTCACAAACTCCCTCTTTAGACAGCAAACACTCTCTTCCACTGAAGAACTTTAACTAGAGCAAGGAAGCTGGAATCTCAATTCTTGCTCAGTCCTGGTTGCTGCATGATTCAAATTGCTGTTGTAAGTAATCCGAACAATTCCTCATCACACAAAGAAAAACCAGATGATTATACCCAACTATATTATTTGCAAAAGCATCATAAATCTAAAGAAAATTTTTGGTCCTTGCTGTTCGGTTAGCAGATAGCTTTTGCAACTTTAGAAACATTTACCCTGCTCCATTAAGAGGAAAAAGAAAAGTGAGATAATTTGGGCTACAAATAAAACAAAAGTCCAGAAATAATTCTGGTTACTGAATACTAAAATGCAACCAAAACTTCAAGCATTTCTCAGAAACTCAAGTTCTTATGCTCTGAAAAATTAAGATTAAGTTTGACATTGTGCTTGGGTTTTGAAACTATGAATTGAACAACAACCGTAATGCCGAACGATACAAAATTTTAAGCTCAAATTGAGATTTTAGTTTAAAAATGTGACTTTTTACCATCATTTTTCAAACATAATTATCACAGCTTCATCACGAATGCCAACTACGCCTAAGAAGGTTATGGAATTAGCATACAAAAAATGAATAATGTAGCAAAAAATTCAAAACAAAACAAAATCCAAGATCATTCAAGAGATGCAATTTCCTCCCATTTTATAAGTCTCTCCTCTTAATTAAAGCGACATGAACGGTTAAAACAAAGGAAAATGCAATGAAAACTCACACACCAAAACATTCTGATATGCCATCACAAGAAACAAGAACTAACTTGTAAAAATAAAATTAAAACTTTATTGCAAAAAAAACCAAACATTTTGGCTAGTTCACATCATCAATAAATCTGATATTCCGTTCTTTGCAAATAGTACTACTCTGATATATCGAAAACCCAAATCAAGATTACATCAAATTAACATAAAATTTTCTGATAGCTAACAACTTTCAACCACCAAACTTGCTATGTTCTATATATCCTACTAACTGAGAAAATGGATGTGTTATGAGAAAGCATTAGTACTGAACAACGGTAAAGCCCTAACAGTTAAATGTTATATGTTTATCAGAATTACACCAAACATCTTAGAGTTAGATATCAAATTGAAACTTGTACGTTTGAATAACCTATAAAATTAAAGGTGCACCAAGATCCAATCTTCAAACACAAAATTTGATCAACTTAGATATTATTTTCTACAAAAACTTAAACAAAAGGAAAAACCCATCATCAAAATCAGACTTAATACCTAAAAATATGAAAGGAAAGTAATGATCAACTAAAAAAAAAAAAAAGGAAACCCCATCATCCTTTAAACAATGATTAAAAGATGGTTAATCAAAAAAAAAAAAAAAAAACTATGAATGAATTAATCCTAACGAAAACTAGAGTGAAACAAATCACCTGATATTTGACGATTTTCAATCAACTTAATACCCAGAACCGATGCCGTCCTAAGAGAAGGAAGATTTAGATAAGAGAAGAAGATTATGGTAATTTCTATTTTCAGTTTATTCTTTATATGGCTCGTTTCTTTGCCGTGCTAACTAAGCTTTATCTTGTTTCCCTTTTACAATTTTATTTTATAGGAAATTAGTGAAATTGTTTGTTAAAAAATTATTTTTAAATTAATATGTACATAAATTTTTATAAATTAATAATTTTTAAATATCAATTTTAATAATATATTAATTGATTAAAAGATAATTCATTTAAATAAAATTATTATAAAATAAAATAAATAAAAAATAATTTGTCATGACTCATGACCCATTAACCAGCTTCAAGCCATAAAAGCAATTTAAGGGTTTGGGTGTTTAATTATTCAAAAAAAAAAAAAAGGCTTGCTTTTTTATCCAAATAGGAGGTTGGGCTTTAACATTTTTAACATGGGCCTTCAAATTCTATAATCTGTGTTGCATAAAGACCCAAATTTAAACTCAAAAATAAATAATAAAAGCAAAATTATGAAATATATAAAAAATAATTATTTTCTTTTTTTAATAGCAAAATTGCTTTTTTTTTTCCTTAAACCTAATGGAAAATTCCAAAACTTTCTAAAATTGTGTTCCTTAAGGCTTAAGGTATGTTAATTTAATTAACTTTTATTTGCTATTAATGTATGCTTCTTAAGATAATCTAACTTTTTGAGCCAAAAATACTTATTAATTATTACATCAAATATCCAGATGTGTTAATCAAAATTTTCTATTGTCATAAAATCTTTTCCCAAAATGTTAAAAAAAAGCAATAATATTCATTTCATTTTTTGTCTAGATGAATTATATGAATCCATGATTATTAAAAATTAATTCGTATTTGATTTAATTAATTTATATAATTATTTTAAATATGACATTTAATAAATTATAATTTAAATATCAATGCTCTCAATTTTTTTTGTCAAAGATCTTTAGATGTCTAATAATTATTTTAAATCTCGATTAATCAGAAATTAAGTTGAGTCCAATTTCAGAAAGAAAATAAATTTTTCTAAATTTATTTTTTTTATTCAGAAGATTTACTAAAAGAAAATTGAACTTTTTGGCACTTGGATCATCGTAGTAGTACTTTCAACCTTTTTTTTTCTATCTTTAACCACGGCTTTATTTGAAAAAGGAAAAAGTATTTAGAAGCTGGAATTAGAATCCCAAAAAAGAGGGAGCTGAATTAACATTTCCTTAATCCTCTTAAGGGAAGGTAATTAGAATGATGATAAGGATGAGTTTATGGTTTATTGCCATTTTCCTTTGATGGAAATGAGTCATAAGGGAAGGATATATTCCCAAGGCGTGTTGAATCTTCTTCCTTTGTGACCAAAAAGAAGAGAAACTTTTGCTGAAAAAGAAGGAAACGTATACAAATCTTCAAAATTGAACCCTTTTCTGGGGGTTGAAGAAAGCTTCTAGCTTCTGCTTTTTTCAATGGAAAAAAGATTGGAAATTGGGATGAAATTATAGGAAAAAGATGTAGAAAAAAAAGAGTTGAAAGAAGATTGATATTATGGTCTACCCATATGAAGAAATACAGACTTCCGTGATTAACTGCATTTGATTTGCTTAAATGCATTAGAACAAAAAATTCATAAGAGAAAGAAGAGCCTGATGTTATTCAAACTTCTTTTCGAAACGAAGGAAAAAAAAAAAGCAAGTAAATCGGTTGAAATTTATAATTTATAACTTTGATTGAAGAATTCAAGACTTCGACCAGTTAATCATGTAAATACAAATGATATTTTATATGTATGAAATTCAAATTAATTTATGCAATTATAGATGATATTTAATATGTATAAAATTTAAATTTTAATATCTATAAATTTTTTTCATTGCGGCCTTCTTTATATAAAAAATGTTATAACTCGCTGATAAAAGATTGCAAAGGGATCATACAATTTAATGATCAAACTTTATGGTTATGGCGATGAATAAGCCATGACTTTTTTTCTGATTCTATTGTTGATAGCTGGTAGCAACTAAGACTGCATATTCCATCTTTCTTGAGAATGTGAGCTACTGACTGAACAGGAAGAGTATCAATAGAAACAGAAAGAAAATATATTGGTAGCTATAATCCCTTCCCAAGCTATTTTGTTTGAGAATGCACTCTTCTACATTGATCTAGAGCATTCAAGATTTTTACTGATCTTAAATTATTATTCTATATAACACATCTATCCTGAACTGTAAGTTTGAGATTCAATAGATTTACAATTCAAATTCCATCATGTGCAAGTTAGCGGCATTTGATACACCTGAAATTAAAATCTTAATTCCTGTAATTCCTTCTCTTATCCTGATACTGTAGCCTCTTTTATAAAAAAAATATTGTTTCAGCAACGCTAAATAACTGATCTTGCAGCAGCAGATAATTTCAGGAAACAAAACATAAAATAGTGAAAATCTATTCGCTAGGAAAATTTTCTCCATGTTCAAAACTGGAGATATTGTACACGATATTTTCAGAAGAAAACTAACCCCAAACATGGGTATTTGCTAACATAATTCGAATAGATAAGAATCAAAGGGCAATCCGCTCATCTTTTTGTTTCTTGTTTGTCAAGTTACATTTAAAAGAGATATGCAACTGCCTGAAATGAAATCTTAGAATAGGCCGCAGATGATGAACACCACTCAATCACTGTTTTCAACTATTTACAGAACTCTCAAAGTAGAACTGATACATTGCCTACACTGTCAATAACCGGAGCAGATTTTCTTCCCATGAGTTTAGAGTTTTAGTGTTCAGACCAGAAAACAGATCTCCCTCACAAGAACTGATGAAATTTGTGCCTTCAATATGCACAGAGCATATCAGACGGTGACATTTCCGGGCAAATATTATGAGAGACCCTTATGTGCTCTCTTGGAATTTGTGAGAACGAGAAAGGGCTGCAGGGTTTGCTTCCAAAATATGAGTGCCATCTGGTACATGGTCTTTGGCTTCTGCTTTAGATTCAAAGGCATTGAAAATTTTACCTCCTTGTAAAGGATCCTTCTGGTCAGGTTTAATACCTAATGTAGCCCATATAGGACTCCTCGAAGCTTCATTTGGATCATCAATTCTTAGCGTCTTTGGAACCACAACGCACTTTTCTGATTGCCCCTCTTTTGCTTCTCTGGAATGTTTGCCTAGTGTTGGTGAGCCAATGCCTGAGCAGCAACTGTTGCTGGTAGAGGATGGAGATAGGCAACCATTGGAGCCACTGACTGACAAATTTCCTCCACCAGCTGCCCATAGAGGCATACAACCCCAATAAGCAGGCAGAAACTGTAAAGGAATGCTTGGCGGGCAAAACCCCGGAACAGCCACCATTGGTGTAGAGCACCATTGAACTGCATTGGAAGTACTGCTATTTGGTGCACCAATACGCTCAGAAGAACACTGACCAGCTGCCATGGGAGCTACACCATGTGAACCTGGATTCCAAGGAAGAATCCAGGGTCGAACAGGATAGCACTGCGGCAGATGATGCGTATTCAGCTCATTAGGTCCTGTCAAACCTATTCTCTCTTTTTGCATGACATGTCCAGGTAATTCATTCCCCCGTATGCTGCAAGGTGTTGCAGAAGATGGTTCCTCTCGTATTTCTCCGCAACTGACTGTACCAGTCTCAACACATCTCTTCTGGTCTCCAAGGCTAAGCACAGTCTCCATGGATTCACAAAGAGGTGTTTCTGCACCAAAATTTAAAACTGTTCCATTTCCCATGGAAGGCTTAAAAACAGGTGTAGATTCACCAGGAGATTGAAGCTGTTGATTTGCTGAGTCGGGGGTTTCTACCCAAGTCATTGGTACTCCATCAGAAGAAACTATTATCTGACGGTACTGAGAGGCCAAGTGCTTATTCTTCCTCCGACCAGCACCAATGGGAACATTTCTCATTGTTCCACCAGCTGTCCAATATCTCTGGCAATTCTTGCAGAAGTGTCGAGGTTGGTTGACATTGTAGTTATTGAAGTAACAGAATTTTGTGTCTAAGCTGTTGCACCGTGGACACGGAAGGATCTTGTCTGGCTTCTTAAAAACTTTCTCTTGATCTGTACTATTTGTCTCTGCCTGTTCATCTTTGGGCTTAGAGTCGATTTTAATCTCATTCGGTTTTATAGAAGTTTGGTGTTCTTCCTTATCATTTTCTACTGCAATGAACTTATCTGGCTCACCAGATATGATTGTGTGAGAAGTTTCAGTTTCTGGGTTTGTTACATCACTACTCATATCCTGAAATTCAAGATCAAAATAGCTGTTTCATTTCTAACAGGAAATCATAAGTAACTTGGTGAAGTAAAAAAAATAAAAACACAAAACACTAGATACCATTTTTCTTGTCTTTTACATTTCTTGTTGAAATGAAAATCACAAATATTGTTCTGTTTTATGTGATTCACAAATAAAAAGACTTAAAGAAAAGTTAAAGAACCGACTAATACTCTCGGATTCTCCAACGATATTCCTATTGACAAAAAAGAACAAAGCATATGCTTAACATGATTGTGACAAAATATCAGTTACAAAAAAAAGCAATTAGCAGTCATCAACCTATCAGTCAAATTGTAGTTAAAGTAAAATTATAAGAAAGTTGTTCTTGACCGAATTCGGAAGAATAATGTTCAGACTGACTATTCCAAAGTTTACAAGAATATGATTAGCAACAAGTTAGAAAGTATGACTGTAATAATTACATGACTTTATGCAAAGGTACCGGCAAGAACATCTTCAACTTGGACTAGCTGCTTTTCGCTATCACCCCAAGACAATAAAAATATATAAAATATGTCTTTATAAAGCCTTTTTTTTATTCAGAAATCAGGAAAAGATAGTCTAAAAGGATATCAGAATTACATGATCCAATCTAGTTTAAAAAACAAATTACACCTGGTTGTTGGTTCTTCATTTCTGTCTATGAAAACTTTTATAACATCCAAGAAAATTAAAATTTAAAACTAACTTCCCATTTTCAGAAATCAAGGAACAGGTATGCACCAACATTCATGAAACTTGTTGTTATAAAAATCAATTCAAACAAAATTCATCAAAAGGAAACAATAGTCATTTAATGTTGTTACAGTGGCCAAACCTCCCCGGTACATAAAGAATTCTATATTAGAAAAATCCCAACAGAGAAAATAAAAAAGGCAGCAAGAAATTTAGTTTCCTATAATCAAATTCAATACAGAAACATGTTTTAGAAAATTCCTGATAAATTTATAATCTCTACAGCCAAAATCAACCAAAAGGTTTCAAAAAATTTTTAAAGACAAAAAAAAAAAGAAAAAGAAAGGAAATTACACAAACAAAAAGATGAAATCGTTTCTCATTTGAATACCATAAAAGTAAATAAAAGCATTGAATAAAAATAAGTAAATATGAAACTGAAGATACGAAGAACATGTCTTTTAATCCTAAAACTTCAACTTTGGGACTAAAACAGAGCTTGAAAAACTCAAACTTTTCCAACAAATTATAACAAAACCAAAAGAAGAACAAAAACCCATAAATATTAAGCTAACAACAACAGCTAAAATGGGTAGTTAACTTCAGAAGAAAACATAAAAAGATCACCAAAAAACCAAGACAAGAACATTAAACCAATGAAAAACAAAAAGAAATGAACTTTGAATTTATGTCAGCTTACCCCAGCATGAATCTGAGGTTCAGGCACAGGAATCTTCCTTCCAAACAGCTTGAAGGCTGGATCTCCACCATTCATTTTTACATAACAAATTTGGTGTTTTTGCTACTACGAAGAGCAAGAACCATAACTCTTAAAACCAAAAAAACAGGGTGTTTTTAGAATGAGAAAAAAGGAGAGAAAAAGGAGACTCTTTGGAGGAGAAAGGACGCAACTTTTTATAGAGTTTTTTAGTCTTTTTTCTCTAAAAACACATAGAAAAAAAGTGTATAAAGGAAAATTTTCGATGAAAAGTCTGAGATAAAGCATAAAGAACGTGAGGGATCAGAGTACAATTTTTTAAACTTTTCTGCCTTTTTTTCGCTTTATTATTATTATTTTTTTAAAGATAAGCTGCCTGTGAGGGAAACCTGTTTTTATTTATTGGCAGGGTTATAAAATCTAGGTCATGTCATCTTACTTTTATAATAAAAAATTCGGCACTTATATTTTTTTTTTTTCAAATTTAGTGCTGATAAATTATTTGATTAAAAATGTTGGATTAATTGGTATTTATAAATATGATTTTAAAAAAATTACATTTAACTAAATTTAATAAAATATAATGTATTAATTATAAATTTAAATCTAATAATAAACTATAAATGTAATAAAAGACTCATAAGATTTTATAATCTTATTTATACCAAAATTAATTTAAAATATTTCAAAATCATTTAAAAAATTTACCATTCCAATGGACTAAAGGTACATTTTTAATAAATTGTCCACATTATGTTATTCTCAAAAACATTTCTCATATCCCATTTCTTTATTTAAATTTAAATTTAATTCAAATTATTTATGTTATTTTTTTTAAAATATAACATTCAAGTAGAATATCATTCAAATTTTAATAGTTATAATTTTTATTTTTAAATTATAATTTCTTTATACTCAATAAAAAATATTGACATTTAATTTTAAAAAGGCCAATTAATGATATATAATATATGTTTTTTTTTTAAATATTCTATCATACTTATTAATGTAAATAATATACGAACAAAAACACGAGAAGTTCATAAAATTATAAAACAAAAATATTATTGTTAAAACATTGTATTTTTAATAACATTAAGATTTATGATTAATGGTAGAATTATTAATTACACAATTTATCAGTGAATTATGAAAATTTTTTTATTTTTTTAGTAATTTAAAATTGAAAAGAAAAAGAGATACAAATTTTGAGAGGACCAAAGTCCCTTTGGCTCCTATTACTCATTTGTCCCTATTTATATCAAAATGTATTATTTTTCTTTTGTCTTCATTAATATGAGTATGCGTTAAGATATGTATCCCACGTGGATTAAACTATAAATGAGAACCTTCTAGCAAAAAAAAAAAAATCATAATTGTTAAGCATTTCCTTTCAACTTTTAGTTTAATAGTTAAAGATATTTAAAGAGATATCAAAGATCTAGTTTTGAACTAAATTTCTCTCCCTTGTTTTTATTTATACTAGCATTTTACCTTTTTGATGTAATAAAAAAAAATTTAAGAACAAAATTTAACTACTTTTTTGCATTTTTTTGTATAATATAATATATACTAAGAGTTTATATTTAATATATTATTAATGTATAGATTTTATATATTATTAATAAATTAGATAATGATAATTCATTTATGAAATAAATTAAATAATGATATCTCATTAATAAATAAATTTTTTTTAATTTTAATTTATATACATTTATTTTAAAAATTGATATTTGTTTATTAATAAAATATTATCATCTAATTTATTGATATATATAAAATTTATATAGTAATAATGTATCAAATAAATATTCATATATTAATTACTAAAATAACATATAATCTATAATTTATAGTAATAATTAGATTATTAGGTATTCATTTTCAAATTATCTTAAAGATAATAATATAATGCAATCATTCATGTACTTTAAGCATTATTTAAACAAATGATTTTCAATTATTGTACTATAAATTTTTTAAAGTTATGTATTTTTTTTATATATTTAAGACGGTGGAGAGTAAATTTTAATTATTAAAATTAAAAATTAATATTTTATTAACATATCATATTTAAGAAATTGTTTTTTTTTTCTTTTCATTTATTGAGAAAATAAATGTTGGTGCCAGCTGTCATCCGAATCAGCAATGAGAAAGGATTTTATAGCCAAGAGATGTAGTGGCTAAGGACGGAGCTGACGTAAGAAAGACAAAAGGAAGGGCCAGAAAAAGCAAAAAGGGCAAAAAATGTGGGCCCTTTATAAGAAAAAAGAGAGAGGCAAAAGGAAAATAAAAAAAAAAATTGAAAGAGAGTCGCTTTTGACGCCGCCTTCAATGTCCGTTTGGGACCCCAAAATTTTATTTATTTTATCAAATATTTCAAAAGTTTAATTAATTTTTATTTTAGCAACTTGTGAGGAAATTCATTGGATTTTTCCAATGAAATTTGCAAAGAAAGGGAGTCACCTTCATTAAGAAAAGGATTGATAGAAAAAGCTTGCTAAAAATTGTAAGCAATTAGCAACTTAATATGGGGAATATTGGATTTGGATGTTCATATTTTTGTTTAGCAATTGGGAGTCCAAATGGGGTCCAAATTTTTTGTTGCAATTTGCAAAGCTTCAATATTCTATCTACTTGGATCCAATTGTACTTTTTTATTCTTGTGCATCATGTAATGGATCAAAACTTTTCAATTAATTCATCAATTAGGTTGACTTAATTGATCAAGTTGATGGATGTAATTTTTTTATTCGAAAATAATGAGAAATTCGAATTTATTTTTTTTAATAAAAATTCATATATCAATTGCTTAATTCAAATGTTCAAATGGGAGAGAAATGCTACTTGTGCCAATTGAAATTGTTCCATCGTGGGTCTCATTGTAGACCAAGAAAAATTGTCTTTAGTTCAAAATCTTTCTATTAAGTGTAGTCAAACAATGATCGAACAGTGTCACTTGGCATGAATTCCACAAAACAAAATTTTTAGGAGTTTTAGTTAAATAAAACAAGTATATATATATATATATTTATAAGTTCTTAGAAAGCAAAAGGTACATGCAATTTTGTGAACCAAGATTGTACTAGGCCTAAGAAAAATATGTTATACATCTTCAAAGATTTTAGAAAAGAAAATACAACATGAGGTTCAAAGTTTAAATTAAGAGGAGTTCAAGTGGAGATTTAATTTCAAATGAACGATCGATCATATTTGACTAAAGATATTAATGTGTGTCGTGTTTTTTTTTTTTAATAAAATACCTTAAAGTTTTTTTTTTCCTTTTTCATATTTATTTTGTTGACGTATTTTATGAGTTTGGTGAGAGCAAGATTTGTTAAAATAAAATGATACCATCTTATTACTAAAGTAAATTGGATGATGTCATTTTATTAATAAGTAAGTTTTTTAAAAAATATTAATTTTTATATATTTTATTTTAAATGTTTATATTTATTTATTAATAAGATGGTATCATCTAATTTATTGACAGTATATCAAATTTATATACTAACAGTACATTAAATATAAACCTTTTTTAAAAAAAGGAAGAAAGTAGGTTAAGGGTGAGAAGAGTAGAACAATAATGGTAGAATAGTTTGCAAAATTAATAATAACTTTATCAATACTCTTTTATTTTTCATCAGTGGTGATGTGATTATCTGTATAAATGAAGTGCGTATCTTAAAACCATGTGTAAGTGTTAAGAACATGACCGTTGAAATATAACAATTTTAATTTTTGTATGCTTAAATCAGCAAAATAATGTATTAATTATGGAATTAAGTGATATTTTCATTTTTATGAGAATGAAGTTTGAAATTTTAATTCCATGACTTTGTGATCAATATTGAATGATATTTGAATTATAGTAAAATATTAATGTGATTTTAAAATTTAAAATTTGTTTAATATGACACATAAGTTATAAATTTATTAAATAATATAATGATTAAAAAGCTATTTATTAATCATGTCTCATCATTTAAAATTAATTACGTTAATATTAAGTATCACATTAATTAAAAACTCATAATTCATGTATGATAACAAAGATTTTTAAAATTCAATGATCACATTAAATATTTCAATTATAATTTAAGAGTTTCTCAAAAAATTAACCCTAAAAACTAAAAGGAAAAAACCCAAATTAGTGATGCAAAGTTGGATATAATGTTAACTTGTATCAAAATGAAGTTTGATAACAGTAAATATTTTGATAAATTTTACATAACTTATGATTATAACTATATAAAAAAAAAAAAAAGTGCTCTCCACAAAATCCATGAGAATTTGGGTCAAAATGTTCAAAACACTAAAATAGAAAAAAAAGAAGATGTAGTTTTTGGATAAAGTCCCACAAGTGTTTTTTCCATAGGGACCAGTACATGTGGCCAGGGCTTGGCGCACCAAGATAAAGATCTCAACGCCATGGTGAGAAACGTCAGAACAACCTCAACCCCATTTTAGGCCTTTTGTGATGGCTACTTTTGGCAAAAAGTGGACCCTCCCAAACTTTTATTGACACCCAAAAAGCTCACCTTTTGCTTGTGCCCAAAAGAAAAGGTTTCATTGGCCCCACAAAAAAAAAAAAAAAAAAAACCTAGCTAGCTTTAACTCGGGGTCCCTTTTTTTCTTGTTACTTCATGGAGCAGCAAACCTCAATTGTAATATACATATAAATTATCTTGAGTTATGAAAATTTAAAATATAATATAATAATATAATATAAAAATAATATAATTTAAAATTTTAATAAAAATTATAAATAAATATCTTTTAATTTTTATGTTAATTTAAATTATTTTATATAATTTTAATATAAAATATGATATAAATATATAAATTATTAATATTTTATATAATATAAATTATTAAATTCAATACCTTCAATACGTGGGTCATAAAACGCAAGCTCCCTAGGGGCTTAAATGAAGCCAGCCTTGGCGGAAGAAAATTTCAAAAGTAAACAATAGCATCTAAAGTCCTGAACTTTAAGAGGACAAAGCTGCCACTTCATTTCATCTCTTTTGTGACCATTAAAGCAAACATAAAGAGATGGTTTTAATTGTTAATGCAGTGTTTTTGGCCCCCATGAAGTGTAAGGAAAAGTGCAAAAGGAATAAATTAGCCTCAGTCTGTTTAGTCAGAATTTCTATCGTGCCTGTCAAACACCTGATGAATAGGGTTTTTGTAGTTGGAAAATTTTGGGGGGAAATTTAATACTATGTAACTGCAAAAGTTGGGCACAAACCTTTCTTCTTTTTTTTTTTTTTGGTTTTTTACAAAGTAGATCATGACATGGAAATAGAGTAGAAAATTATAAATATTGAAATTTAAAATTTATTACATCGAAAAAAAAGTTTATACGAAAAAAATGAAGATCAAATCATAAAGAAAGAATTATTGTTGCTTCAAAAAAATCTAGCAAAAAGTACCAATAAGGTGAGACAAGAAAGGTTTTAAAGAGTTATAATTATAAACATATTGAATGTTATTTTTTAAAATTTTATATGAATAATTGTATAAAATTAATTTGATTCATTATTCTGTTTAGAGTTTATTTAGATGAACGATAAAATTAATTCTAATGAGATTAAAAATAATAATTCAAATGAAATTAATTATTATAACAGTGAGATTAATTATTGTAATGTTAAAATTAAAATTAATGATGAAATGTACGTTTAAATGTAAAATTAACAATAACGATGAGGTGAAATATAATAAAAATAAAAAAGTAATATTAATGACATTAGATTATAATTATATTAATAAAATTTATAATATAGTTTATATTTATAAATTTAAAAATAATTAAAATTTAATAAAAAATTTTTTTATCAAATCATAAATTTGTTAAAAATTAGTAATAATATATCTATCCATAAATGTACAATATATAAATGTAAAGATATATTTGCTCATTGATATAATTTTAAGAGTAAAAGAGGAAAAAATATAAAAAAAATTGGGATAATATTGGAAAAAAAGCTGCAGTGGGCAAAAGAACTATTACTGGAAAGGTCAATGTCCGGGGCGAAAATGAGGTTCCAGCGTGAATTATTTTACAACAATCGCACCACAATTTGTTACCCAAACTTCTTACTACAGCACGATTACACAAAAAATCATGATAATCATATTGAAACGTGGCTCCGGTTACATCAAAATCCAGTTCGAGTTCAAAGTCGAATGCTGAAGTCTATGAAACAAAATACTTGAGCAGGCTGGATTAGTTTGTGATTCAGAGCACAAGCAAACTGGCACAACCCTATCTTAATCCAAATTAGGCTTACTTGGACCAATATCTATCATAACCGGAAGAAAATAATTTATTTGGGCTTGGATCTTTTAGTGGGCTACCACCTAAAAACTCGATAAAAAAGAATTAAATATCATTTTTATTAATTCTATTTATAGAGTTAAAAAATATTACTGATAATAAATCGAATAATATTTTTTTATTTTATTATGAGAAATGTGATAAAAAAAAAAGCAAATTATTGTTCTTTTAACTTTTTTTTTTCCTTTGATCTGTTTATAATGTAATTGAGAGGGATTCAAACTTAACTATCCCAATTGGTGTCCTTTTTTTTTTTTTCAAAAATTTTGTGCCTCGTTGCTGGGATAACGGGAGAGATTATATTTGGTTGGAAATGAGAGAGATTATGATAGGACTAGGTGAGGTAGTTTCTCGATAGGGTGTCATTTTTTTTTTTAATTTTATTTCAATATTTTTATAACTTCATCTTCCAATTAAAGAAACCCATCTTTCTATTTGAAATTTATGAAATGGTTCAAGAGAAGTTTTAATACCAAAAGTTTATTTAGAAATCTTATTAGGAGCATCAGTCGTTTCTCTCCCTCAAATTATTGAAATAAAAAAGAAATTCAAAAACTCACATGCTGTAATCAAGTACTGTATAGCTTATATATATATATCAATTTATAAATGAATTTATAATTATTTGAAACAAATCTTGTTTTTATCAATGTTGTAGAATTCTTCAAGATAAAAGATTTCTTTTTTCTCAATTGAATTTTTAGATTTAAGGTTTAGAGTTTAAAGTTTTTAAATTTAGAATTTAAAGTTTAGGGTTTTTTTTAAGTTTAAATAACTTAGGATATAAAAATTTCATAAATTATATAACTTACGAAAAATGTATATATGGAATAGGGGTGCGAGATAATTTTGAAAAAAAAAATAAAACATAGTGTAAAAAGAAAATATATGGATGCATTTAGAAGCACCTTTTATTTGTTCATTCATTCAATCCCATAATCACAATTTCACTTTTCTACCCTTTATAATTTCTCAAATGTCGTAAGAAAACCAACCTCTTGCATCGATCTCCATAGTTCAAATTTCATATGATTTCTACTTGCATCATCTCCATAGTTCTTTTCATTTTCTTTGACATATACTATGGCGTTAACATGATAGTTTAGATTCAAGTAGTAAAGATATATATATATATATATATATATATATATATAAGATACAGTTACAGCTTGAATTCAAATCTCTTGATTGAAAAGTCGAATCAAGATATGCAAGTTTCTCAAAAACAAAGAAAGAATATTGTTTTCAATATTTATCAAGTAAGAGCACTATATGATGATGATGATGAATATTGTTTTCAATATTTATCAAGTAAGAGCACTATATGATGATGATGATGATGATGATGATTGATTCCCTTGAAAAAATTAACAAGGGTATGTAAAAATTCAAAATCTAATCATATAAAAGAAAGTAGACTGAGAAAAGCATTTTGAATACCATACTGCTTCATTACCAATAGAGACATGATAGTTCTAATTGAAGAAATATGTAAAAATAAAGGGCTTGTTTTATTTATTAATTTATTATAGTTAAGCTCTCCCTGGGGGTACTTTGGGATCATGGTCATGGTTTGCACCTGGCCCTGGATAATCTGTGCCTTCCATTAGCATCCTTTCCTCATTGAATGCATCTCCTTCCCCAGACAATTCCTGATCAGCTTCACTCAATTTCATTACATCCTGCAAAAGAAACAAAGGACAACCTTACCCAAATTATTGCATACAACCAATGTAAAGAAGAGAAAACTTGTAAGAATGTCCATTGGTTTAAGAAAAAAAAACCAATTTCAGCCTGACAGCTTTCCTTGGTTGTCATAGCTTTGACATTCCAAGTTTTCTTTTTGCTAAAAAAAAAAATTGTTCAATACTATGCATATATATATATATATGCATATATATATTATATGCCTAGAAAAATTATAAACTTGAAAGAGAGAGAGAGAGAGAGAGAGAAGGGACCTGAGCAAGAAATTCTGGGACAGAAGAAGAGGAAAGGAGTAGTTCCTTATTTGACTTGAGGGTTCCTGTATAAACCAAATAAATTTAATTTTTATAAATAATTAAACCAAACGGTTAACACCAAAATCCACAATTAAAAGCTAAAATATTAGGCTTACTTGTTGTGGGAACAGCAGCACAGTAAAGCAGAAGATAAGAGAAACTCAGAAAAGTAGCATCAATCTAACAAAAGCTTTCTTCCCCATGCTAATGATCAATGATGACAAAAGAGAAAGAAAATTGGTGATGGCAAAGGAAAGCGTGAGGGCTTGGTACTTTATATAGCATAAAGAAGCGAAGTATCCCCCCCCCCCCCTTTTTTTTTTCTCTGTTTAATCTTTAATACATTTTTCTAATTAATCAATGAGGAAATTGGAAAGAATTGAAAAGAAGTTAAGTAGCAATAATACAGCTATAAGTACAGCTTCGTGCAAAAAAAAAAAAGAAAAAAAGCACAAGGTCAACTTCTTTCCATTTATTTTATTTTATTGCGGGTGAGATCCCACTTGCCTAACTCTATTTCCTTTCCTTTTCTTGTGTAAGATAGAGAAAAAATTACAATTATTAAGATTTAAATTATAAATTTATTGGATCTCACTTCTTATAAATAATTGTATGAATTAATTGAATTAAATTTTTTATTTTTATGTCATTTTCATATCAATAAATAATAACTTTTACATAAAATTGCTTGTAAAAAAAATGTATGCACATTAATATTTACAGATAAAAGTATGTGAGTTTTTATTTGTAAGAATTGAAGAGTAGCTTTTGGGACTAATGTTTATGAATTCTAACTAATTTGGACTCACCCCACTACATATTTAATTGTTATTTTTATTTTTTTATCTAGATACGAATATTCAAGTTTGATTTTTAATTAAAGAATACTTACATCTATTATTGAGTTAAATGCTCAAATTTCGTAGATCCTTCTAATTGTATATTCAAGTTGCTCAAAATTATGAGTTATATAAATTTTTTATGTAAATTATGAGTTATATTTGGCTATGTTAGTTTAGATCTGTTTTTATTTTCATTAATTTGTTTTTCCAGAGAAATTTATTTATGGGTAAATTGCATTTTCCACTTGTTTAAAATGTTCATAAGTTTCACATAATGCCATGTAGTTCGATGGCTAATTTAAAAACTCTCTAAGGCCAATAATTGTAACTTGTTGTAGTCCAATATGCACAAAAGACTTTACATAATTTTTTTTAAGGAAGTAAAACTATATATTTTATTATGTTTTGAAGACTAAGTTATTTATATAAATGTGATAATAACAATTTATAAAGGAATATAGTATAGTTGATTTTGTTAATGTAATGTTTTGTAACATTAATGTAATATTCTATAATATTATGTAATTATATAATCAAACATAACATCAGAGATTATGATATTATAATTAAAATAATATTTAAGTTTACAATATAATTACAACATCGTGTGGGATTTTTCTCCTAAGTTTCTTTTAGTAAGTGAAAGTTTTTTTTAGCATAAATAGAATACCTTTATATAGCATTTTCTCATATTATTCAATAAAGAATTTTTTTTTTTTTGGTTTTAGTTTCTTTTAGTAAGTTGAAGTTTTTTTTAACTTAAATAGAATACCTTTATATAGAATTTTCTCATATTATTCAATAAATAATTTTTTTTTTTTTGGTTTTAGTTTCTTTTAGTAAGTGAAAGTTTTTTTTTTTTAACATAAATAGAAGACCTTTATATAGCATTTTCTCATATTATTCAATAAAGATTTTTTTTTTTTTGGTTTTAGTTTCTTTTAGTAAGTGAGTTTTTTTTTAACATAAATAGAATACCTTTATATAGCATTTTCTCATATTATTCAGTAAAGAATTTTTTTTTTTTTGGTTTTAGTTTCTTTTAGTAAGTTGAAGTTTTTTTTTAACATAAATAGAATACCTTTATATAGAATTTTCTCTTTTAGTAAGTTGAAGTTTTTTTTTAACTTAAATAGAATACCTTTATATAGAATTTTCTCATATTATTGAATAAAGAATTTTTTTTTTTTTTGGTTTTAGTTTCTTTTAGTAAGTGAAAGTTTTTTTTTTTTAACATAAATAGAATACCTTTATATAGCATTTTCTCATATTATTCAATAAAGAAAAAATTTTTTTTTTGGTTTTTTAACAAATACCATGGACATCACCCTTTAAGAAATGACAAAAATTTCAATTTTAGTAAGAAATGACAATTTATTAGTAAGATACTAATAAAGGAATTGGAGTTTATTTATTTATTTATTTATTTTTGGTTACCAAAATCACGACTCAGATTTAGTGGTTGTCTCCACTCACATTCATCTTGAGAAGATTTCTCCAATCTTTAAATTTCCCTCACATATCATGCAATTGATATTAATTGTTGGCAAATATACCTACTTGAAACCTTTATTTGTTGCTTCATTACGTCAAATTTCTCTCAAACTTTGACTCTTCATTTTTAAAGTTTAAAGTTTGAATTCTGTGATGAATCATACGAGATTTATGATATAAGATAGAATTATTTTATTTTACAATTTGAAACCGTTATATATATAATTATAAAAATTTTGTACACGTAAATATTGAAATACTTTGACACTTGAGTTTTCAAGTTTTAGTTTAGTAATTGATGCATGATTTTAAAAGTATAATTCAAGTCTTCGTTTCTTAAAAAAAAAAAAAAGGAAATTTTTTTTTTTAAGTTCTTCAAAGAGAGGTTTCCATGCCATGAAGTTCAATGTTCTTGAGTATTGTTCGTCTTCTTTATTTTATTTTTTAGTTTCAATTAATTTAGTGTTTTAGTCAAGGGCAAAGCCAGGGGACAGGCAGGAGCTACACCCTCTTAAAAAATTTTCACCTCTCTTATATTACAGTATCCCGATCTATCAAAATATTATTTTGGCTCCCTTTTCTTTTGAAATTACTATTTGACACCTATTTTAATCAATTCCTGCCTTCACCTCAAATTTTAGTTTAATGTTTTAAAAACATTTTAGGTTAACCTAAAATAAGATCAACGTTGATCTTTTTTTCATATCAGAAAACATTTTTTTAAAAATAAATTTATCAAATTTACTTTTAATCTTTTCTCTTATCTTCGAGTTACGATTTTCTTATAAAATATATTTTATTTGCTTCAGTTCTATATGCCTACTAATATGATAATTGATAATTGCATTAAAAGCTCATTTTGAAAGTGGAAAAAAAAAAGAAAGAAAGAAAATAAAACAATATTTAATACATGAATATTTCACTCAATAAATAATAAATGTATTTCCATGATAAAAATTAATTAATCTAATATATATATATATATATATATAAATGACTTATGCTAGGAATAATTTGACTTATACAATTAAATGTTGACAAAAAAAAAAAAAGAGAATGAAAAATTAGGAATAATGGAATCTAAAGAAGGCTATAGTTGACGCAAAAGCTTCCAAAAATTTGAGTTTGGGTGGTGGGCAAACAAATAAATGACATTCTGATTTATGTGACATGCCACATTTTTGTCTCTTGTGTTATTTTCTCATCCAAGGGGTGGCTGAGGTTGGCCCCAATTCACGCCCATGGTTTCAAGGTTTATTTGGCAACATGACGGGGGATACTTCTTCCACTATGCTTAATGAATTTTCCATCCATCCAATCAATAGAGAAAAATTTTTTTTTTAGATAAATTCTTCTCAAATCACAAGAATTAATGTTCCAAGTTAGCATCACAAATTGGTTAAATTAGGTTAGCTTAATTCAAAGCAATTTTCAATATTTCTAGGAGTTTATAAATGTACTTCAAGAGGGAATCAAATCACAAGTAAGTCAAATTAGTCATGAACGACTATAGTTGAATTCTTTGAAGTCATCATTTTAGTCATTACCCTACCCTAACGTCAGCATTTCATTTGAAAGTAAAACAAGAAAGGAAAATGTCAAACTAGCAACCAAACAAATTTATACGCATGAAAAGTTCATGGCAAACTCATCAACTAGGGAAAGAAAGAAAGGAAAAAAAAAACATGTTTATTGACTAATTTCATAACTAAGACCCACTTACATCGATTTCATATGATTTTTACTTTCGACATTTTACAAAATAATTAAGACCCACTTGCATCGATATTACCATTTCTTTGCATCACCAATTAACCATATGTTTTTTCCTTAAAATAGTGAAACCTAATCGGAAAGAACCCCTGATATGATTCGACAATATTATTTATTAAGTGGTGATAAAATTCTTCTTTTTTTATTGCCAGTTTCATTTCTTTTATATACTCATTCTTTTTTTTTTTTTTTTTATGGTTTTGGGTTATAAAATTACAGTTTGAACTCGAGACTCAAAGTGGACTCCAATACTGTTGAACTAACAGTTTATCGATGATGCTCATTCTTCATTACAACTCATGCCTTAATTTATTGAGTTGTGCTAAATGGTACGAAATAGGAAGAGGGTAAACAGAAGTAATGGCAATGCATGTGTATCAAACACTCCATGGGTTTTATTTGGAGCTTCACGTTTTGGAACTTTTTCATATTCTTTGGCATATACTACGTTGTTTACATGATAGTTTAGATTCAAGTAATATATATATATATATATATATTAAAATTCCTTATAGACCATGAATTTCAAGTATCTATATTACCTAGTAAAATACAGATACAGCCTGAATTAAAATCTCTTATATGGAAAGTCGAATTAAGATATGCAAGTTTCTCAAAAACAAAGAAAGTGGATATTGTTTTCAATATTTATCAAGAGCACTATATATGATGGAGATGATTGATACCCTTGAAAAACATAGGTTTGTCAAAATTCAAAATCTGATCATATACAAAAAAGTCAAGTGAGAGAGGCATTTTGAATACGATACTGCTTTATTACCAATAGAGATATGACAGTTCTAATGCATTTTTGCGGTCAGAAACTGGCCTTTCTTTCCCTACATGATTTTGACCAAACAATCTAATAATGCATATTTGCCTTGTTTCTATTAGGAATTTGGGAATGAATTATAGCATGTCGATCAGTTAAAGTCAAATAAGGTATGTGTTAATGGGTGGGAGATTATCCAAACAATGTACTAGCCCGTGTGTGTGTTTTAGAGTACTAAGGAAAGCAAAAATTCGAAGCTTGTTTTGCCTTGCATTCTTCTATTTTTAGATCAGTTTAAAATCCCACCATTAGTTTCCAAAGATTTGGAACTTCAAATCAAGTTATGCAGTATTTATCGGTAAGTGGTTTCTAAACTAATCTACTTTTAGGAATCACAAAAACTCTAATATCATTTGT